GCTAGAAAAGTAAATAAATCCTGATATTACGACATTAATTAGGACTCCTAAATAAGGAGGCAATCTGCTGGAAAAATACTCCAATGGCAACTGTAGTTCCTGATTTATCTGCATTTATATTATATCCTGCAATTTGCTCTTCCTCCTGCGATCTGCTCTTCCTCTCCTCCTGTAGACTGTTCTACATCACTGACAAAAGTAATTTTAAGCTATACTACGTTAAACCACTACACACACGTCATTTAAAGGGAAAAATAATACCGACATAAATTAAATAATGCTGTGAAATCACAATTGCAAACAGGAGTCAACTGTATGTGTACAACCAAGCCTTTTAAGCCAAAGTTAAATTATAACCAAGCCCTTTAATCCAATACCGAGAAATTTGAATGGTAAACGTAACGCAGTAATTCTATTATTATTTCGAACATGAAAGTACAAAAAGACAGGCTTGCTTTTCATGATGAATGTTGCAGAGGTTGCTCAAAGGCCTGCCTGTCCGCCATCAAAACCAAAAGGAGTTGATTGGGACAAGCTTGAAGCTGAAGCGAAGGAGGAGGTAATATTTGTTGATTCTGTGCTCATGCTCTGTGTTTACGTATTGGAATTTTATTTACTTATTTAGATTTATAAAATATATTTTCTGAAAAATAAAATTTTCTTGAATTCAAAAAGGTTTTGTGTTCATTCCATAACTGAAGCATGAGATATCGTCTGTGGATTTCAGGAGAAAGAGGAGAAGCCAGATGGGGATATGCAGCTATGAACAAATATTTCCGAGAAAGTTACCAAGATGCTGATGAAGACGCAAGAAGAGCCATGAAAAAGTCTTTTGTAAGGCCTTTGAATTAATTATGTTATACATATATTTATGGGGTGAAGGAACTGCTTTCTGTTGTTGTTGTTTTTTGTTTTTTTTTTTTTGTGCTTTCTGTTGTTTTTATAGCAACAGGTGGAGTCTGATAAGTGGAAATGTATTGTAACCAAAACAGTGCTAGTTTGTTAGTCATTTTTTGGCGATTTTTCTCTAATTTTTTTTAATATTTAGATTAAATATAAATATAAAAAAATTATTGAAACCAATTAAATTCATAAATTTGTTTATAGATTTGATGAATTAAGCTACAACACTCATATTATTATTATTTTTTATTGTTATTTAATGTAGTTTTTATCCCTCACTCAAATTTAAAAAACAAATATAATTTTATTTTTTTGTTATTGACAGCTTATTTTTTTATTTAATTTAAAAATAAAAAATATAATTTTATTTTTTTATTAATAATCTATTTTTGCTATCTTAATTCCACACACCGATCCTCTTTTTTTTAAAAAAAAAAATTGATATTTCATACAAAAATATTTGAGCATATAACTATATATTATAATAAAATTGATATGAAAATAAAAATATATATATTATAATAAAATTAAAATTAAAATAAATTTTAAAAATAAATATACAATAGCGTATAACTAATGATTAACTAACTAATGATTAACTATAAATAGAAGTGTTTTCTATAATTAATTAGTATAATATTTTTTACATACAATTTAATTTAAATAAATATCACATCCAATTTTGAATGGAATTGTGATTTCCAACTCCAGCAAAAATAAAACTCCAAATAATAGAAAAGAAAAGTATTTAATATATTTATAATAAAAGGAACTTACTCTCAAATGGGCTAAATGTATGGGCCGAGTCTATGTCTTTTCTAAACAGTCAGACCCAGCCCATCTAACTTAGCTACTAGCTAGGGTTTTATTACTTCCACTGCTCTCTCAACAAATATAAATCCACACTCCATAGCCGCTTTCTTCTCTTCGCCAGGTTCCTTCATCTTTGTTCTCTAGTGGGTATTCTTTCGCTTCAACATCTTAGATTTGACTTCTACCAATGGAGGTTTAATGTATTTGCTGTTGTATTTGCAGGGAAAAACTCTGAAGAGAGTTCCTTTAAGAGGTTTCCAACATGAGGTATGGCTCAAGATCTCTAGCTCTTTCCTTTTTAATTTCTTTCCCCTCAAGGGCGCTTGATTTTTTCATGTTTCGGCAGTTAGTTCATTATCATTGTTTTGTTTTCATAGATTGCAAGGAAATGTGATGTTGGGTTATGGGTTCTTGGTTTTTGAATCATTTTAGTATAATTTGAAAGGTTTGTTTGTTCATCTACATGTCAAAAAACGGGAAATTTGTCTGGTTTGTTTTTGATAATTGCTTTGGATTTATACAATAAATTGAATTTTTAATAATGTTCTGATTTAGCTTGGTCCTGATTGCTTTTACTTGACTTATTTTTTGGATATGAATTCTAAACTAGACTAAAAAATAAAAATTCATCAAAGCTACTGTAGAAGTTGGTTGAGGATTTATGGTTATTTACACTGAATACTATTAGTTTAAACAGGTTAGGTGCTATAAAAGTCAAGTTTTGTGATGTCATATACTAAGAGAATTTAAATTATTTGAGTTGCTTTTGAACTCTTGTGTTCTTTTTTACGTTAAGATGATTCTTAAGCAAGTGACAGGAATTTTGTGAGTTTTAAATGCAAAGAAGTAAACCCCTTAGCCTAAAGCACTCTGAAACGTCCTAGGTTGAGCTAAGGAGTGACTAGTGGAACATTATGATATGAATGTTTTATGCTTTGTCTACTGCAGTAAGCTTTCAGGGGATACAATTCGTGATGCGGTTGCTACTATCAAAACTGGTGTGAATAACAAGCCTCGCAAGTTTGTTCAGACCATTGAGCTACAGATTGGATTGAAAAATTATGACCCCCAGAAGGACAAGAGGTTCAGTGGCTCTGTTAAGTTGCCTCACATACCCCGTCCCAAAATGAAGGTCTGCATGCTTGGAGATGCTCAACATGTGGAGGAGGTAATTATTCATTCCATTCATCAATATACATAGATTAAAAGAAATTTCTGAATAATTTTTTATATTGCTGTTTGGTGTCTGTAAAATGTCCTTAAGTAGCATATTTATCTTGCCGGTTTTCAAATCTTTTTTGGCAATGGTTTGGAAATAGTTGCTATATTATGAAAATAGCATTGCTGCAAGTTATAGAGAAAGTGGATTGCTGTTGTCCTTTTGGGATGAGGTTGTCGGATGATTGTAGTTGTATGGTTGTCTGAGATTTATTAGCCTGAATTTTTTCACTTATTATGGGATTTTTAATAGTATTAACTTTTTAATTTATTTTGGCAGGCAACATCTATAGGCTTGCAATGGATGGACGTTGAAGCATTGAAGAAACTAAACAAGAATAAGAAATTGGTCAAGAAGCTTTCCAAGCAGTACCATGCCTTTTTGGCATCAGAGTCTGTCATCAAGCAGATTCCTCGGCTTTTAGGCCCTGGTCTCAACAAGGCAGGCAAGTTTATTAAGATTATTCACATCTCTGTATTTCTTTACAAACTGTCTTCATGTAGAACGGTTGACCTTGCTTTTGGATATGGTAGTTTCTCATATTTTTTGCCAATTTATGTGAATGCAGGAAAGTTTCCCACCCTCGTGACTCACCAAGAGTCATTGGAGTCTAAAGTTAATGAGATCAAGGCAACAGTGAAGTTCCAATTGAAGAAAGTCCTTTGCATGGGGGTTGCTGTTGGTAACTGCGACATGGAGGATAAGCAGATTTTCCAGAATGTTCAAATGTCCGTGAACTTCCTTGTTTCGTTGTTGAAGAAAAATTGGCAAAATGTGAGTTCTGATCTCTTTAAACTTTGTTGAAACTTTCTGGCGCTGTGAACTGTTTTTGTACTTATGACTTTTGTTGCAAATCAGGTCAAGTCCCTGCACCTAAAGAGTACCATGGGTTCACCAGTCCGCCTCTACTAAGCGAGTTCTATATTACGACATTGTAGTTTTGGAATGCTTAGAAATGTCATCCCTTTTCTGAGCAGAGCTTATAATTGTTTTCTGAAAGATGAAATTATGTCCTTGGATTTTATCATTTCATTTCTTTTTTGTTTTGAATGCTTAGCCTTTAATCCAGACCTATTATGTTTGATAGATGTGAACTTTTTTTCCCTTCAAATCTTTACTGTTGCAGGACGTATCTTGCTATTGATTGTCCTGGTCAGGCTTCTTGTTCACGCTGGAGTTTGCTTTGCCAGTGTCTTTCGGGGCCATAGAAGATAAAAGTGGGGTGTTTGAGATGGTGCATGTTTTTTAAAATAATAATTTTTAAAAATTTATTTTTTATATTAGCATATATTTAAAACATAATTTTAAATTAAAAAATAATTAAAATTTTTAACACTGTTGAACTTTACTATTAAACATCTTTAAAATAGATTTTTTTTTAAAATATCGGTTTATATCTAAAAACCTGATGTTTGTTGCAAAATCGATGTTCCTTCCACAGAGGTATGCTAGAGCAAAATGGTGGATCTCTCTCCCGTCATGGGAGATGCAAGCTGTGTTTCTCGTCCTATAGTTTAGGGTCTGCTTGTTTAACTTCTTACGGTGCAAAAAAATAGTAAGTTATTGGTAACATATCAAATTACATTTTATATTATTGTATAGTTTACTAAAAAATTTCAAACTAATTTTTACGAAGTAGTTTTCACATGTATTTTTAATTGAGTTTTATGCATAAACTTTTTATGTATATTTTTTATTATATATAAACTTCAATTATAATTTTTATTAAATATATATTTAAATTCAACTAACTATATAGCTATATATTTTTTAAAACTTATCTTTTTTAAAATTATAACCACAGAAACTACCTTAATAATAAACTTACTTAAATTTAAAAACAAAGACGAAAATGCTACAACGACAATGAGGATAGCTGCAGTCGCAAAACCAGGGATAAAGGGATTGTAAGTCCTAAAAGTATTTGATTTTCACAAATGAGCGTTTGCTTTTTGAATTTTATTGTGTCCAATCTTTGTATTTCATTCAATAAAGTGTCTAAATAGCTGTTTATTTATCAAATATTCATTTGGTTATTTTTCCATTGAGACATGAACACTGAACACTGACATTTAAGTTAACGTTTGGTTATTTTTCCATTGAGACATGTCTTGTATCCAAGAGTATATGCATAATTCTATTTGGTATAAAAATACCTAAGTACTCCTACTCGAGATCACTAATATTGACTCTTGATTATATTTTAGTTATTTTACATTTTATAAAAACATTGAATAGAAACAAATGCCTCTAAACAAATCAATAATCAATAATGACTACTACACCTCATGAAAATACCAAAACAACCCTGTCCAAAGACATGTAATTTTATATGAGAAGAAAAAAATAATCATCACTATCAACAGTAAAATATAAAAGGGGGTAATAGTGAATCCTCATCCTGTTTTAGTTATATATGTAAAATTGTGAGAGATTTATTATGTAAAATTACACCGTGGATTCTTTCACAAATATTATGCACTTACTATTTACTACTTTTTTTTTTTCCTAATACCTTTTTTTTATAATATGTATGCCCTAATTTTTCACAAAATATTCTCTCATGACTTGAATCCCAGTGGAACCCAAATATATTATTGTCATTGTATTTTATAACATGTATGCATCATTTTTTTTATTCATTATATTTTTTTCACTGTCAAAAAAATGTGTTAACAATAAATATATGTTTATTTTTTTTATGTTAGGAAAAAATTATTATACTTGAATTGAATAAACATGTTAAGATTATTATTTTTTTGTATTTATTAGCATGATTCTTGATCTACTTAATTAAATGCATAAACTTTTTTTTTTATTTATGCTCTGGATTTCTCTTTTATTAAAAAATATATTGAAAAAACTTATACATTTATTTATTTTACTAAAAACAAATCTATCTGATCCACAGCCATGCGTGATTCAAATAAATAATTATTTTCTAATTCTCAACTAGGTTTTGGAGGGAACTTTTCTGGCTCTTTACTTGTTGATGTGAGATTTTCTAATTCTCTACTTTATGATGCGGAATGAAAAGACTGAATACTTATTTGAATAGTTTAGACACTCAAAATTGTATTTTATATACAGATATATATATAAACTGGCCGTCCCCCATAAGTTTATTAGCTTTGATATTATTCTATGAAATTAAATGTTAATTATTTACTGAAAGAAATATGAGTGTAGATGTTTTGCATCACCTCTCCATATGGATTTCACAGCCTCTGTCCTTTGTATTACCTGCGTGCCTTCCTTCTGTTATGTCCTTTGAAGAGGAGTTGAAGTTAACTGGAAAACGTATATAGCATCCATACCAACGAAAGAAAATGATTAAGAATCCCAAGAACAGTAACCTTCAATGTTGTAATTAATTAAATGCCTGTATCAGACCAGAAAAACGGAGGCATTTGCTTGTTTTGTTCTCAACGGGAACATATAAATTTAGTTGATTTAATATCTGACGCTTTGATTGGTTTAATGTGGGTTTTTTGCAGTGTTGGAAGATAAATTTAGTGCTCCGTAGATACTTGATTTGATAAAATAAATTTTAATTAATTAATTTAATATAATTAAAGCTTTAAAAATCAAATTTAAAACTAAAATGTTTTCAAAAACTGAACTAAAAAAGAAAAGAAAAGTGGTTGTTCGTGTAACAGGCACCAACACGAGTAAAGTCGTTGTATTTGGATGGCCATGGACATCAAGAGATGACCTCTCTTGATATTGTTTAACTTGTATAGGCTGATTTTTCTCCCAAAATGACAGGAAGATTTTAGCTATCAAAATAATCAATTTTTATATTAAAAATTTCTATATAACAAGTGAAGTTAATATTAGATTTTTTTTACCTTAAAAACACCTAAAAAACATATTTGTGCTTGTGGGAATTTTTGATTTCATGTCATTTTTTTATGTTTTTGAAGATAATGGATTGGTTTAACCAAGTTCTGAGAGTGTTTCTTAAGTAATTTAGATAAAAAATAAATTGAAATAGAGTTTTCAAATTAAAAAAAAAAACCTGTTTTCTCTATATGATGCATCATTTTATTTTATTCCAAGCAATTAAAACGGACATATTAAACTGAAAAAAAAAAAAACCCATACAAGCTAGCTTAGCACTGCAAGTCTGTGCGCGAGTCTTTACTTGATTAGGCTATACGCTCAACCTAACTTACGAAAACTAGCAACACCTGACTTTATTACATTTTTGTTTTTAATTTTTTTTTTTATGGATTTTGTGTTTTTTAAAATAATTTTTATTTTTATTTTTTTAAATTAATATCCCTTTTCTATGTTTTTCTTGGGTTTTTTAGCCTTTGTTGAATGGTGTGTATTTGTGTGTGCGCACACACACACACAGACATATATATATATATATATATATATATATATAGAGAGAGAGAGAGAGAGAGAGAGAGAGAGAGAGGGAAGGAGAGAGGGAGGAACTGAATGAGAAGTGCATGTGTCAAATCCTTCTACTGTCCACTATCGTTTTTGTCCAAAAAGCTCAACAAAAAGCCACTGACAATTCGCCGTGCTACAGGGTTAGGAATAGAACGACAGAGCCTTCCATCAATATATGCAAGAATGCCTGACAACACAAACCTACCAATGCCCCATTTCCATATAAACTTCGCCTTCTTCTCCTGTTCACGGGAGTCTGCAGGGACAATTGCTTTGCCATCGTCGCCTTCTGGTTCTTTTTTCAAATTAATTTTGGCCACGAATTTTCCAGTTTGCTTTCTCAGCATGCGGATCGCAAAGCTCACAACAAGATGTTCACACAAAGTCCACACTGTTGGTCCAATGTTCCATTCCTGTGATAGATTGTCAATATTAAACTTTTTCTGAAGATGAAATAGTGCGTGCTGTATTCTTCAAGGCGTGATAAGCAAATAGGACTGCATGGTCCACATGCATAGCTCGACTATGGGTGCGCTGACATTGACACTCATGGTCATGGGCTTGAAAGGCTAAGCAAGCATGCATGATATTAAAATTAACAAATCATTGCTTAACATTGAAAGGAAGAAAGAAAGACAAATGCAACCATCCATTTAAATCAGCTTGTAATAAGTTTTGCATATGATTTCTATGGTGTAGTTGGTGCCAAAATAGACATTTTTTACACATCAAAGGATTCAGCTTAAAGCAACAAACATTAAGGTAATGGTTAAGAGAATTCGTTAATAATATGAGATTATAGCCAGTAGATAATCCATGGTATTTCAAAAAGATTTCACTCGAAGGTGTGACATCCAAATATATATTGACCGGCAAAATGCTAATAAAAAGGACAAGAACTGATACAAAATTCAGGGATACTTACACTCTCTCCTTGAAGATGACGCAAGGGGCGATAAGATGTTGAAGGATCACCTTTCAGCAATCCTTTGCTTATCAGGAATCCCTTCACACGATCCATGATCTCATCTATGAGGGCACTATTCGGGGGTAGGTTTTTAAGGAAAACCTGAATGCATAAATAATACAACCAAAACTTAATGAGCAAAACACACATAAAAAAAAAAAAAAAACCATCAGAATAGGATAGCATTAAGGTTCCTAACATCATCAAGTAAAAGTTAGAAGTTGCAGATCCATAGCACGTACAATAAATTTCAACAATCCAGTCAGCAGATAGGCGAGTCTGGAGACTCTGGATTCTCAAGGTTGAACATAGCATTTCACGTTTTAGCCTATATTATTAGCTCGCAAAAAATTTGATGCACAAGTCTTCTTCTTCTTTTTTTTTTAAATTTCCCTCCAATTATCTTAAGAACCAATGAACCTAATATCTCCCTTCAGTAATTACCTGATCATCAATCACTCTGACTCTCAGATACTCTTGTCTGTACGTTGTATCCAACATTGCTTGCAAATATCCTTCGACATACAACTGCAAAATTCCAAAAGAACAACGATTGACCAATGACAGATATAAAAATATCAAAATGTTAGCCTCTGTATTCTGCTTGCAGCCATAAAATGCAAGTAGAAGACAGAATCTTGACGCCCAACTTCTTAATCGTCCATATTTACAACTGATTCTTCATTAACTCAGTACAAGATGCAGACCTTACCACACATCTGGCCTACTGTGTACACTGATTAGATTTGAATATGAGTGGACTGCTTTACCAAATCAATTTATCTACCATTTCCACCAATAAAGAATGTATACATTCCATAAGAAAGAACAAAGTTTGTATAACCATTTCTGCATAACACATCAAAGCTAATTACCTCATCAATGCCTGGATTTTGATCAAGCTTCACCTTTCTATCTGGGCCGCCGCCTTTTAAAGCAGTCCCCAGTAGTGATGGTTCCATAGCCAATTGCAGAATCCCTTGCCGGAAACCACTCGCCTTGACAATACCAAGGAAAGAGAACATGCCAATATTCATAATTCCAAGTGGTTATTTACACTTTCCATTCTTATTAATGGTTAATTGTAGAATTAACATGGAGAAGTAGCAGAATGTAGGAAAAGTATTAGCAGAGAGAAGACGTTTGATACCATTCCATCAAAACCATTTGTTTCTGCTCCCTTCAGAACAGAGTCTGATATTTCAGTGGCAGCAGCAAACATCATATTGGATCCCACTGTTCTCAACTGCAGAACCATCATGCAATTAACAGCTTTTTTCATATGGAAACTTAATCTGTAACTGAAAAAAGCAACAAACATACAGTTTTTTCCAGGTCACCAAAGTAGCGTTTTGTCCCCGAGAACCCTCTAGCATTGATACATTTACTGAGGAATTTGAATGCGCCTGTCCTCAAGAAGCAGAGGAACAATTAAGTATAAGAATTTAGAACCAATGAAAACCACCATAATTTGAACTCATGAATGGACTCACACTGATGCAAATGGAAATGGAGAACAAAATAGATCTACCAAATAATGTATCAAGATCAGACAACTTGACAAATAAAGACAATAATGATGATAATATCATTGATACCAATATAATTTGTTAATTCTCGGGAAAAAAACTATTTATTTCGAGCTACTTTTGCATTATGCAAATAAATATGCACAAGCAGGAAACCAGGAAAAGGGCAGATCGTTCACTTGGTTGGGCCAGTTTATACACTGTAGTTTGTAGAGGCTAGCAGTAAACTCACAACATGGTAAGAAAACATTGATCACAGGAAGACAAAGTCTAATAGGGGAACAAGTGTATTTCACAAATATCATCAAATAGCATATGGTTTGTGCAGGGCTTTTCACATGCAACTGACCTTCTAACAGGAACAGAAATGATTGGATATTGCAAACGTGGATGTTGGGAGCAAACTGTAATTTACCTAGAAAGTACATCACAACCTCTGAAAGATGAAAAAGTCATGCCAATCAATTACCTAAATTGAAACCTGGAATATTAATCAACCCACGTGAAGGATCAAAATAGACGTCGAGAGAAGACGAAGCCAAATCATCAAATATGGATGCAAAAGCTGGCGGAAGCAAAGGGCTTCCTTTTGCAATATAGATGGCCCTCAATGCATACCTGGATTATTGTGAAAACTTTAACACATACTTTATTAAAAAAAAAAAAAGAATATGAGTAAGCTTACCATGAATAATGCTGTGCACATCTGACAAACAATTCATGCATGGTTATTAAAGCATGAGTAACGAGTACCCCATTGAGTTCAACAACCATATTTTTTATGGGAGGAACCTGCAGATGAGGAAAAAGGGAAAACAAACACGTCACCCTATAGCAGCACCTATGCTTTACATGCCAAAATGCATGGAGATAAATGAAAATGTTTTCTTACATACAGAGAGAGTCACACCTTTATCACACTATGCAGTAAGGACCTTAGGGTCTCCTGTGCTGAATTATAACTTGAATATGTGTCCCCCGGAAGAAAATTAGTAATAATCTACACGATTTACCAAAACACCAGTCAGATTAACCAAGGAACACAGTTAGGTACCTGAGGCAAAAGAATTTTATAATTGGAGAGTTAAAAGCACAAAACCTTTACTGGATGGATCTCAAAATGATCAAAGTAATGTTGTCCACTTGGAGTACTGGTGTCACTGAGAGACGTACGCCAAAATGAGGCAATTCTCATTAAAGTTTCCTCATCAAGATTCAAATCAATTGGCTACGGACAACAAATTCATGAAGTTAGGCTACTCAACTTCATTAGAAACACGTAGAAACTAAAGAATTGTAACCAACAAGCTCTGGCCAACATATGAAAAAAAATACACCATATGTAGCGCCTTATTATACCTGCAGAATCATGGATGAGTATTCAACTTGCCTAACATTGGAGCTGGTTGAAAGTAGGACAAGGAAAAATTCAAGTACAGAAGCATTTGAGTCACTGAAGTCTGATTGATGTCTGCGAAGCATTGCCGCAAAAGGAGAACCTAACCACTTCTGATCCACATTTAATGACTGCATTGTTTGAAAGTACAGGCACAACATTATTGAAATTCTATGATCCTGACTTTTAACTGATTATAAAACCTTCCAGAATCAGATATTAGCAGGCAGAGATTTTGAGATCTGTGGGCAACCCATGTTAAAACTATTACCTGCACACTGATCCGGTTAAATTTCTTCAGATCAGTGAACACTGAGTCCACACTGATATTTCCAAGCCTTGCAACTATAAGTGGCGTATAAGTGAGATCGACAACCTCATCAACATCCTTAAAAAAATAATAACACATGAGAAGTCACTAGATCAAGAAGAAACCATGTCATTTGATGTTAAGATATTGCCAAAAAACTTTTAAATAGTTTCTTTATGAGGTCTAATAATAAAAGAAAAGAGAAATAATTAGGATTCATGAGATCAATGAAAGAACCCATGCTCTCTCCCTCATTGTGTAACAGAGTCATCAAACAAGTAAAGCAAAAATTTTAGACTCGTTTCGGACTTGTCAGAAGAGGGAAATATCACATATAAGGAAAGGCATCCTTTTGATGGAAGGTTAAGGTAGCTGACCTTTTTTTCATGCTCAAGAAAGTGGATTGCAAAATGAAACACTCTCACTTGGATCTTGGCACATAACTGAGACAATCTATCTCTCTTGTGACTATCCAAAAACTCGCAAATTCTTAAAACTCGTGTGGTACCCTCAGCATATACTTCATACCCCACCTTCATAACATCCATGCTGTTTGGATGATCAAAGTAGCTTTTGTGGTCTCTGGACTCTTTGTGCAAAAGAGAATGAGATGCCAATCCTCGAAGTTTTGTTGATTTGAGAAAAGGTTTCCACGCCCGTACCTTATCCAAGTTTATCTCACGTTGAAGATCTGCATGAAAATAAAATTCATGTACCTTAAGGATACTAGCAACAATGACAGCAACAACCCAGTACTAGGTGCTGGCTAAATTGTTTTTTCCTCTGACCATTATAGGTAATGGCTATAAATATGTGGCCCCTACCACACATGATGCAGCCATGAACAACAGTTCCTAAGAAATAGCAGGGCAGTAATTACCATTGATTAGAACAACCAGTTTATGCGGAAGAGTCAAATCATCCCATACGTAATAAGCACTACAGTCAGATCCAAGAATCTCTCTCTCTGATGAATCCTGAAAACATTTCCAACCATAATCAATAGAGAGTTGGTACAAAATGTTTCTAGTTGATAGGAATGGAATTGGAATCAAGAATAAGCAAAATCAGGTAACACTACCACCTTTTGACAGAAAGTGAGAGGTAAATCATGCAAGTGATTCTCAATCCGATATGGTAGAGTAACATTTGGTGGTTTGTGGAAGTGCACACCAACAGTAGAACCTTCTTCAACCACATGAATAGCAGCAAATTCAAATGCACTGTTGTCTAATGCTTGATCTTGATTTGATTGTTTCCTGAATTTTATGAAAAATCGTCCTAATGAAACAATGCATACCGGCCCTGACCAGCTAGATTCAGGGTCATTCAGCTGGAACTGGATATATACTAATGAAGTATCGATATCGTTTCTATGCTTCCTGATGAAATTCTCGAATAAACTGAATTCTCTCCTCTTGCTAATTACATTCCAAAGCTTTAGTGCTGTTCTCTGTTTACTGTTAATGTGTACAAGGCTTGTTGCTTCATCCTTCTTGAAAATTGTTTGGAGGGGGGGGGGGGGGGGGGAAACCCAGAAAGAAAAAACTT